CTTTAGTGGATAATTCTTGAAATATCATGGGGATGACATGTTGGATAGGGTGAATGTTGTTGTGATATTTTTTTAAAATTAGTTGAAGGATTGGATGCCATCCAATTAAAATGATAGAAGGTGATAAGTGAAAATTTGTTTTTGAGATAAAAATGGATTACAAATGGTTGGTGATGCCTTTTGAAATAACCAATGTTCCTTGTACTTTCAAGCAGATAACAAATCATATTGAAATTTTTCTTGCTGTTTGTTTTGATGATATCCTAAACTATAGTAAAACATTGTATGATCATTTGTTGCATCTTAGAATAGGATTTGAGGCTTTACAAGAAAAAAATATATATTTGAACTTACAGTGAAGTTTGTGACTCAATCTTATGATCTACCAAGATTTTGTTGTGTCTAAGAACGAATTATCTATTGATTCTAATAAAATTAATGATTGGTCAAAACTTACTGATATACATGATATTCAGAGTCTATGATTTGACTATCTTTTGTAAAAGATTCATTAAAGTGTTCATGAATGTTATAGTTCCAATTACAAATAGTATAGAAAAAGAAAACTTCAAATGTACTAAATATACTAACAATATTTTTACAAAAATCAAAGAGAGACTTGTCAATGCACTTGTACTTTAGTTGTCTCATTATAATAAGATATTTGAACTTCCATTGATGTGTCTAGAGTAGGTATTGGAGATCTTATTGCATTTTTTGAAATTGAATGAGGCTAAACAAATATATTCAAACTAGATAGGAAATTCCATGTTGTAGTAAAAGCTCTTTGAAATTGAAGACGTTATATGTTGCCTAAGGATTTTATGTCAAGCTTTCATCATCAAGATTTGAAATTTTTGAATTCTCAAAAAAGTTGGGATACACATTTTAAGCAGGTCGAGTTTTTATAAAAATAATTTTTTCCATAAACATTGTGTAGAATCTAATAATAAATTTGTGGATGCTTTGAGAGGAGTTTCTATCCTTCTACATACAAAGTAGGCAAAGGTTATTAGGTTTAATTATGTGAATATAGAGTATGTTATATGTAAGGATTCCAATGGAATTTATCAGGACTCAAATAATGATTCAAATTTTCTTAACCAAAGATTATATAGACTCCTCATAGCCTATATTAGTATATAAGGTTGATGCATAATCAATCCCAATTTAAATTTCAATTAATTCAACTAGATAAAATAATCCAGATTATAATTTGAAATCTCCAATTATGCCAAGCAACAAAAAAATTTAAACTTCCAAAGATACATAATCATATCAATCTCGTACTCAAAAAAGGTACATAAGAAACAAATGCCAAGGGCAAAGCACATCACATCATGTGGGAGGCAGAATTCAAATATGCTCAAAAATGAAACTACTTTCACCTGCTCATGTAGATACATAAGAACTACATATGAAGTTTACACCCATTTCCCAGAATAATAGTTGCATGTTTTTCGCCAGAAGACAATTCTAATCCCCAATTTTAATTAAAATTACATAGTATCAATAAGTCATATGAATCTAGATAAGATCCCACTACCCGAGCAAATCCTCATAGAAATTCAAAACTCAAGTTCCAAAATAACTCCAAGACTCACTGCACACCATGAACCCTAACACCTTATTTCTTTGATGACCCCAAAAACCATTAACATGTTATGCCTCCTACTAGAAACTCATAATGGAAATTAATCTAAACTCAATCATTTAACACAACCAATAAACTAACCTAAAGCTAGGATATATATTTTTTCTTGACCAATTCAACCTTTCTCAAGCATCATCATAAGCATGCTGTTACATACATAAATAACAAAATAAACCAACTGATAAAAAATAATAATAATAAAATGCATAGAAATTAATACTTGTTGTGTGCTTATGATGAGAATAAATGCGAAAATTTTCTTAAATTTGGGTGTCTTGAAAAAAAAATTGGCTCCAATGAATTTAACAGTTGATATTCATCAAATACTTTTAGACATAATTTTGTACCGTAATACATAAATCATCACAATCAAGTCTATCCCATCGATGAATGAAGCATCTTTAAAATTCATCATCAATAGCAAACAAATCTCATCATCTAGAATAGCTTCAAGAATAAGATGCATAGAAGTATTTGGAAAAAAAATGGATGTGAGGTCACAAGCATGATGTGGGAAAAGAGTAGAATCCAATGAATTGGGTCAAATCAAATATATTGAAAAATGGATTTATATCAAATTTTTTGAAATTTCTAATTTTTAGATATTAATTCCAATGCATTGCACAATAGTGTTTTGAAACATGAAATTCACAACTTTTAGCTTTAATATAATTTCCCTTTTCAATTTCAATATTATGAGTGCATATTGGATACATGGGTCCTTCAAGCATTATATAAATGTGACAATCTAATTCTGAGGGAAGTCATCTCTTTGCATTGATGTTGTAACACCTACAGATCAGTGCATCGTTCCAACTATTATGACCTAATACAATTCAAGGTAATCCACTAAATTATGCATTTGAATACTTCTACATGTGTCTATGAATATTTCATAAGCATGTGAAGTATGCATCTTTTTTGAAATGGGTCTCGATGGTCTATGTGCATGATTTGAAAATCTGAAAAATGTTTCTTGGGCTGTCGTGGCGTTAGGTCTGGTGGCACCACGGCTTTGAGCTCTCTATTTTTTGGTCAAATAAATTCATGTTGAAGCGCTATGAGCTCCCAGAGGGAGTGTTGCAGCGTGTGATTGGGCGCCACGGCGCTCGGCCAAATTTTTATAATAAAAACATCATTGTTCAATATTCAATTCATTCCACTTCCCTCAAGGAAATCAACTAGAGAGAGAGGATTCCTAGAGAGAGAAAACCAATTTTGGGAGACTTCAATCCATTTTCAGCTGAAATTCTGAAAGTTGTCCGGCTCGAGATAGATTGCATTTTGTCTATCTCAGTTTTTAAAAATGTGAGAATTTCAATAATTTTTTAATTTAATTTATAATTTTGTTGGTGAAAAACTAGGATAACTTGATATCTGCAAAACTTTCATCACGAGCTTTATGTATGTTATAGATACGACAGTTTTGAATATTTAGATATTTTTCTAAAAAAAATTTACCAGATAAATTAAAAAATATGATTTGACAAATTAAAAAATTATTTTGGTTCCCAAAAATAATAATGTAGTACACTAAAAGCTTCAAAATTATGCTCTAGATAATCTCTGATAATTTGGTTACATTCTGAAACAGTGAATTTCTGCTCAGTAGTTTATTCTGCTGCCTAATGTTAAAATATTTTGTTAACTTCTAAAATGAGTTTATTTATATTTTTCTTTTACCGCAATGCAATGAATTTTATGTTTATCTTTTTGAAATATGTGATTATGGGGAAATTTGGTGTATGTGAGAGAAATTCTGTTCTAGTGCTATATGCACATTCTATTCTCGTGTTGTGCATTGAAAATTATAAGTGCTTGTTTTCTAATATGCCAGTATGAGAGTCAAAGGGGTCTGTTTCTGATATGAGGTATAAGGGTCTGAGAGAAATCTATTATTTTTCATTCTGATGTATGATGTACGTTTTTCTTTATTTTCAGTGCACAGTCTACTTTAATTCAAATATATGCAAGTAATATCATGCACAATCTATTACATTTCCTATGAACTACTTTTAATTTTAGTTAAATGCATAATAAATTATTTATTCGAAAACTTATATCGGTAAGTGTGACTTGCTGAGCTCTGTTGACTCATAGTTTATCTACATTCTGTTTCAGGGTCTGGGAAAGAAAAGAGCCCATCAAGTAGCTGAGTCAGGATCTGATCTGTATGAATCTAAATAGGTAATTTCCTTACTGATTTTGTACAATCATGGTTTACTATGTTTGGTATTTCAATCTGTAGTCATATATTGTAGTGTAAATATTGTATATACATTTTGAGAACAAATGAAAATAATTTTTTGTGGATAAGTTATTTTTTGTATACTGAAAGTTATTAGCAGTTATCTAATCTATTGTTTATTTAAGTTTAATTGAAGGAAGAAGAAAATCTAAAAAGTTTCCCAAAACTTTGATCTTGTTGCTTGCTGCAAGCCAATACGATAGGATCAATTCCTTTTGTAGATCTTATCAGGTTGGGTTATAACAGAAGTAAGGCCTTTTTTTTTTTTACTTTTAAAAATAAATAAATCCTTGTCTATTTTATGTACATAATTTTTCTATTGGTCATTTTAATGCTCTTGATTTTAGTCAAAAAAGTTATTTGTAGGCAATATAATTTTATAAAATTTAATTCATTTGCCCGCTTATTTTATTTGCTTGCTGAAATTCATGAATATTTACAACCATTTCTTAACCAATTAGGCGTAAACTCGAGCATTTTTTTCAATATGAAGAGTAAGAGTTGATTGATTGATTGGTAACTTATGAACTATGAATCTTTACTTTTTTCTTGTATGAGAGGACACGACACAACACAATACTAGCATTAAGAAACCTAACACTGAGTGCATCAAAGCAGCTTAAACCTTTGGAAAATTTAAACAAGAATAGTTTAAAATCAAAAAGTTAAGAACTATGTACTATTTGAATCCATCAACACTTAAATTATCCAAATGAACAAGCAACGGCTGTATCATAAGAATCGTAGAGCCAAGTAGGCTGATAGCCATATATATCAACTGTGAAACAAATAGTAAATATATTGAGACACTTGTGTACTATTACTGGCAAAATGGCATGGATGTATTTAAAAAAGGACGAGAAGATCTCTATTATACATGCGCATAATCACAAGGCTTTGATAGCATTTATTTCAAAACCATGTGTTCCATTTATTGTGTTTAAGTTTCTGCTGGTAGAAGTTAGAACAAGTATCGACTAACAAGTTGCTTCCTTAAATGTACTCCATAAAGTGCAGCTATTATTTTGAACTAAAAAACGATGACAGGAGTTCAATGAAACATAAAAATATAACAAAAGAAGTGTATGATGAGTTTACTTCTAAAAAGATGGTTCTCCAAACTTCCTCGAGGCATAAATTCATAAACTAGCAGCCTTTGATCATCTTCAATGCAATATCCAATCAGCTTCACTAGATTGGGATGAATCAGGTCACCAAGAAAATTAACCTCTGCCTGCAAGAAAAGGGAGATAAAAAATCAACCATGAAGTAGAATTATTTGCAAGTTACCTATGTTACTTGAATAATAATAAAAAGTTCTAAGAATTAATTAAAGAAGACTTCTACCTACCAGCCACTCTTTATGCCCTTGAAGTCCATCATGATTAAGGGTCTTCACAGCAACAGTAAGCCCTAAACCAGGTTTCATCGGAGCGGTACCATTCTCCTCGACCCATCCCTTGAAGACACAACCAAAGCCTCCCTCACCAAGAAGACTCTCGGGTCTGAAGTTTCTTGTAGCACATCTGAGCTCATTAAAAGTGAATCTGCGCAGCTGAGATGCAACTCTTAGCTCTTGACAAACACCAGGAGTCGATATGCAGCTTTCTGTAGTACAGTAGGTTGTAGAAGTGGAGGCTGCAATGGTTGTTGGTTGATCACCACTACCATTTCGTATGGATTTGCTTTCGGCTGAGCAAGTAACAGAAAAAAAGAAAGTTAAAGAGGCCTTTTGCCATGTATAAGGAACAGCAAATTTGAAGGGTCATGAATAACTGATGGCTCAAATCAACAATTGAGGATGAAAGTTCACTCTCCTTCTTTGAAAAAAAGAGTAAGAGATTGCTAACTATTTCTTTCTGGCAAAACTATTAGTCTGTCTACTTGATTGTAGCTGCCTCACAGAACATATTTGTTTGCCAGCAAAAGAAACTTTCATTCCTTGCTTTTTCTATCTCAAATATGTCGAGAAGAAACAAGCTCCCCATTAGCTGAAATGGCCAGTTTCATCCCCTCCACTTCGATGCTTGATCCCCTTATTACTTCAGAAAGTTGAATCCGATCCTGATAACGACCGCTATGCTTCTTCTTTTGCTAAAAATGCAGATGTCGATTCTTGATCCACCATGGCTGCTCTCTGATATCATGAAAGACCCAGCCGGGGGAGAGAGAGAGAGAGAGAGAGATAGAGAGAGAGAGAGAGAGAGAGAGAGAGAGAGAGAAGAACTGAATTGTATTATGAAAGACTAGTTAGTACAGAGGCTATAAATAGATTAAAATACATCAAGAAGAGTAACGGATAGGTCCACGTGTACAGTAGACGCTGATGGCTCTAACATTTGACGTCTTGCCTTGACACATGTGAATGTAAGAAACTGTACAGCTATGTTGGAGGTAGCAGTAAAGGACAAAAAAAGTTTCAAACAATTCAACCATCTTTAATCTAGTACTTATCTTATCATCTTGAATGCCATAATCATCGCCATCATCAGCAACATCATTACCAACTATTTGGGATCAGCTCAAAGACTACTAACTTGAATCTGACTATCCTACATCACTCAGAATAACATGAATTCTGGATAAATTTCCAGTAAGGTCGATTAGTGTATGATATTGTTCCATTCCTTAAAGCCATGAGGGATGGCAGCAACATCAGATATTCATCAAACAGGTAAGAATAAAAAATGTCAATATCTCCATGCTTATACAAATCAAATCCAATCTCTAATTAGAAGAAAGAGGACCATTTCAAAACTGTATGGCTTGATATTGAGTATTGATCACCTAGCAAAGGTGAGAATTAATGGAGCTCAGAATTTGCCAACATAAAGCATAATGCCTTTTCCTCTGTGGTGTTATGGTTTGGTCAATAATTTTGCTAAGATAAGCACAAAATTAAAAATTGGAGGATAACACTTGTGTCTAAAGTTTATTGGAAAAATCTGTTATTTGAATTATATTTGTTTTAAATTTTCATCTCCTTTATCTTATATAAATGGAAGATTGAAGAGAGGCATGTAAACTGTGGAGTATCAATGTGCCTTAGGACTATATAGCTAGTTGTTGCTTAGAAACTTAAACTGGGAGCAAGCATGAGACATAAGAGGCTTCCCTGTGGGGATCCAGATGGAGATTCTTTTTATATGATTTAGATCCTTATATAGATTAACTCAGTTGTTAGGTTCTTGTAATTTCTACATGATATTAGGATAATTTTCTACTCATTTAACTTGGAGAGATTGAGACTTCTCTTAATGATAAAATTGGTGTAGTTGAATTTGTAAAAGAGCATTTTAGCATGCATCTTTTACTTGTAAACATGTGTGGATTCTAGATATTTTATCATATCATCTCTCGTCTTTTGTGGATGTAGTCTAGGGTTTGGCCAAATCATGTAAACTTTGATGTCATTCATTTAAGGGCAGATTTAAGAGGAATCTATATCTTTGCTTGTGTAAATATAAATTAATTAGAAAAGCCATCTTAAATTTTAGAGTTTTGGATATATATTTAAAATTATTAATGATATTTTTAAAATAGCCAATTTATGCGTCCACTAAGAAAATTACTAGCTCCGCCACTGCATCTATTGGTGCTTCGCCACTTTTCTATTTCTTTGTGATTCATCATGTTGGCTCCTAGTAATTAAAAAATAAAAAAAAAATGTTGGCTCCTAGTAATCACTTTTATACTAAAAGTAGGCTTTTCCTAACATATAGAATGAGCGATGACATAAACCTCATACCTCTATCACATAGTTAATATTAGATCCTAGTCCAAGGGAATCTTGAATTTTGAGTTAGGTGCATTATCAAACTTGGATTAGTTAATCCACCAATCCACAAGGAAAATATCAAACCTGTTAGCTAAATCAATGCATATGAATTCATAAAAATTGATATTTTTAACCACACTAACAAGAGAAAGTGATGCAGGCTAATGAAGGCAACAACTTGATTGTGTCTCTTTAGGGTGGTGGTAGAATAGTTATTTGGGTATCGGTGAACACGTTATTTAGAGTGTAAATAAATTTAGTGATAAAATTTCTTCACTATGAAAAGGCGAGTTTTTAAGGAAAAAATTGGAGGAACTCTAGATCAAAGGTTTAAGATGTTAGAGAACTAATGGTGGTACGTAATGAATTTTGGAATAATTGCTAAGAAGTTGTGCTATTTTTAATCTGATTGCTCACAACAGGAAATTCATTTCATGATTATTCGACAAATTTTATGATGATTGTCAACTACGTAACGAAACCCTCAACCTTTTTCATCCAAGGCTTGGTGGCAATGGCGGTGTGTTGGCCAGAATGTTGGCCATTAAAAGAGAAGTATAAAGTTAAGTGTTGCAGAGATGAAGATGCTCAGGTGGATGAGTTGCTTCACTCCTAGAGATAGAATACTAAACGAGTATGTGAGAAGGTTGGAGTAGCTCCAATGGCAGATTATATTAGAGATAGTCACCATAGATGGTTTGGACACAAAACATCGTCCTTCCGATGACTGTGTCAAGAGAGTGAATATTGGATTTGGCATATGTTAAGAAAATTTGAGATAGACCTAAAAGGACTTGGCTAGAAAATATTAGAAATGACTTTTTTTATTAAATTTAAATGAGATTTTGACCCTTAACATGACATGATTGAGAAAAATGATTCACGTAACCGACCCCATGTAGCAGGAATGTGGGATAAAAGCTTGATGTTGTTGTTGTTGCTGTTGTTGCTCACGACATTAAATTATCTCACTATATTGAGCTTTTGACTAGGGTATCTTAAATTTAGTGAGAAATTCAGGCATGGGGAGATTATGAGGGATACATGAGAATATTTAGAAGACTTTGGAAGAGCTCAAACATGTTTTGAGATTGAGAGAAGCTAAGCTTGATGTTATGTAGATAATATAAAAATTGTATTCGGAAAGATGAGAAATAAAGGTGAGAAAATATAACTTTGAGCTCACCAAAACCCAAGGAGATTAAGCACCAAACTTCACCAGATAGTAGAGCAACTACCAAACCATTTATATAAAATTAATATAAGCAAAAAATAATTTTTATTCAATGAATTCAAAATTAAAAAGTAAAGTCCTATTTATAGGTCCTTTCTAAGCTTAGATAAATTTGAAAAAACTAATGAATCAATAAAATAAGATTACATTGATTGAGAAGTTATCCTAATACAAAATGGAAAGAAAATAAGATAAATAAAATAATTTTAAAGCTTCCAAAAACATAAAAATTAAAATTAGCCAAATAAGTCAAGTACAATGGTCCTAAAATTAAGCAGGTTATAAATTTTTTTATTTTCTTGACCGGTATGGCCCACCTACTCATCAAAAGACTTTAAATTAAACTTCTTAATTATTTTTCGGTGATTTAAAGATATTATAGGTCATTCATAAGTTTTCATAGAGAGTTTTGCATGATTAATAGTACAAATGTTGATATAGTGTCTTGGTTTGTGACATTGTTCTTGATCTTTATCATGATGCTACAACAAAAAGATGGCATGGCATTCTTAAATGAATAGCATAGAGACCCATTTGAGCTTGAATAAATGGTCCTCTATATATTGTTACTAGCGCTAATACAAATTTTATCAAAAAAAAAATTTGATTAGTGTTTTAGACATCTGAAAAATATTGATGATATTTTTAAAATAGCGAATTTGTGCCCCTAACAAAATAATGTTGACTCTGCCACTATATTTGTTGGTGCTTCACCTCTTTGCCATGTCTTTGTGGTTCATCATATTGGCTCCTAGTAGACTTTTGTATAAGAAAGTAGGTTTTTCCTAACATGTAGAATGAACGATGCCATAAATTGCAGACCTCTATCAGAAAGTTAATCTTAGATCCTGATCCAAGGGAATCCAGAATTTTGAGTAAGGCGTATCAGCGAACTTTGATTAGTTAATCCAGCAATACACAATGAAATCGCTGGGTTAGAAACTAAATAAATGCATGTGAATTCATAATAATTGAGAATTTTAAACCACACTAACAAGAGAAAGATGGCATGACATTCTAAAATGAATGATATAAAGGCATAAAGGCCCATTTGGGTTCCCCCAAAATTACCATTTTTCATGCGTAAGCTGCTAACTGAGCCATCCAATTTCGACCTGAAGACACAGTTCCCAACCAAACAAAACCTACTCCACCACCGGCACTTCCAGCCTTCCTTCTGCTCCCCATCCTTCCACCACTTCTTTCTTCTCCCCTTCGACTTCACAGAACTCACTGAAGCATCCCCCTGCACAGTGGCTGATCCCAATCCCATCACTTCAGAACCTATACGAGTCAAGAGCCTTCATCGTGCACCAAGATCCAACGATTCCCTCCACAAATGTAAGCACTGTGAACAGTTGCGTCTGCGTTTACAAAATGAGGCCTGCGAAACTCGAAGCCGAGGGTGAGGAAATTCCCGGCGAGGTTCGCCGTAACCCTAGAGGAGGGTGACCAGCGGAAGCTGGTGGAGAGCGTGAGTTCGGAGCTTAAGGAGGATAGAGCATTGAAGATGGCCAGAGGAGGGAAGTGGCAGACGGCTCCTTTTCGAGTGCGAAAAGACCAAAGGGAAGTATCGCGGTAAGAGAGAGGACACGGGTAATTCGGGCAGCTACGGGCAGGGGTACAGGAGTAATTGAACTTGAGGATAGCTCGCATGCGACAGTTGTACACAATAAAATATGTATGGATTATTGTGTGATTTGTTAAATCAAATGTGAATAGTTATATTGTTATAATAATAATTCTTAACATAACATTTGAGAAGATTGATTTTGTAAGGGGCTATTTGGTATGAACATTAAAAAGGTGTAAAATATTTTTAATGTATGGGTTTTAAAAATATTAGTATTTGATTAAGTTGATTTAAGTAGAAAAATGAATAATGAATTTTTGAAATTTCTTAAATTTATCATCCAGTTCAATGGGAAATTTTTAGATTTGACTGATTATCAAATACACCGTAAATTATTTATCATTGCAACTGTCATCATCATTACCCTCCATAGGTGTCACCACTGCCACCTAGCATTGGCCACAACTCACATATCGTCATAGTCATCGTCGTTGTCACCATCAACTGTTGTCGGCTATCACCCACGTCATTACCTCACTTCAAGCCAAAGAAAATTAAGTAATCAACTTCAATCGATAGTGAAGGTACTATAGTCGGCGAGCAATAGAAGTTGGAGGGATACTAATTGACAGGCGACGGTGATCAAAGAGACCGTAGTCGGTGGGCAACAGAGCTCATAGGGGAAATAATTAGTTGGCGACGGTGGTCGAAGCGACTATAGTTGGTGAGCGACAATGGGTCGGAGGGACCGTAGTGGACGGGCGACGGAGGTTGGAGGTATTATAGTCGGTGGGCAACAGTGGCTGGAGGGATTGTCGTCGAGGAGCGACGAAGTTGGAACAACTAATATGGATTACAGAGAGTCGCCTTAGATGGAGGGACTGCAATGCTTTATGGTGTCGAATGTTAGCCATTAAAATAGAAGCATAAATTCTAAGTTAAGTGTTGCAAAGATGATGATGCTCAAGTGGATGAGTGGCTTTACCCTTAGAGATAGGATGTGAAATGAGCATACACATGAAAAGGTTGGAGTAGCTCTAGTGGAAGATAATATTAGAAAGAGCCGCCTTAGATGGCTTGGTCACATAACATAGCGGCCTTCCGATGACCTGGCTTGGAAAGTAAAGGTATTATATTTGACTTATGTTAAGAAAGGTAGAGGTAGATCTAAAAAGACTTGGTTAGAAAATATTAGAAATTATCTTTATTTATTAGATTTAAACAAGAATTTGATTTTAACATAACACAATAGAGAGAAATGATTCAAGTAGCTAACTCCACGTAGTGGGACAAAGGTTTGATGATGATGATGATGATGATGTTGTTGTTGTTGTTCAATACATTTGTACAAATCATATGATAGTTATAGGTTGTTGTACCATTCTAGCTTTCTAATTTAAGGTTGAGTCTGAATTCTCAACTTTTAAAATTGAAGTTGTTCTTTCATTCAAGGTTGTGTCTGAATCCCCAACTTTTAGAATTTCAATTGTGCAAGCTTAACTCGTTAGGTTTTTCATCTTTACTTGCACAGACCTATCTCTTATATATGACTTATTTCATTTTTTCAATACCATTCATTTCTTTTATAATCATTACTTAATGAATCAACAATATATACATAAATAAATTGGAATGGACTTAAATGAATGCTATTATAAACATAACAAATATGGATTTCCAAAAAAAAAAAAAAATTTACTATTTTCTATCCATCGTTTGGGTATCTCACCGTATTAGGAATTTGTTCTCCTAGAATTTGTCTTCTTTTTCTTTTGTAAACAATCTCAATTACACTTTTCTTCATTCAATACTACCCCTCTTCCAAATTTTCTTCTCTATTACCTTCCCTTTCCTTTTTCCTTACCATTTTATGAAATCTGCAAACTTCAACTACAGCAACCCATAAGTTCAGCACCTGGAGTGAATTCCAAAAGCTAATGCTTTACTGCTATATATATTTTAATATACTAATGCTTAGTTTCCACTAATGCTTTACCATCCCTTATCCAAACCCTCTTAGCCTTATGATTCCATCAAGCCTATGCATGCTTAGTTTAGTGATTTTGCTACACAAGAGGTATTTTAATATATAAATGAACTATTACATCACTTGTTAATTAACTATAAGCTATTACTTAGTTTTATTTTTACTGTTACTTAAAAATATTAAACAACTATTTATTAAATAGCTATAAATATCCAATTAAATTCATATTTAAATATACTTTTATATATCAAAATACTCAATACTAAAAGTAAAATTTAATAAAAATAAATTTACATTGAAAAGAAAGCTCAGCAAGAAAATCTGAGAACTGTGGTCAAGAGAATGACGTAGACATTGGTTAGAATTTTTCTTTGGAATTTGGTAAAGCAATGAGGTGTTTTGAGAGGTGGGGGATCTTTGGAAGCTTTAGTTATGTATTTCCATCAAAGAAGAAGCACATATTCAAAGTTATAAACTTGGTAATGTGACATTTAACCAACATTTAAAATAGAAGGAATCATGGGGAGGAATTATCTTCATTTCTTAATTTATTTTTTGCCTCTAGATTCTTTATATGTATATAGATGTCCAAAGGTTCATACTTATCGAAGGAGTTAGAATATTTTTCTCGAGAGTCTCAAATAAGAATATGATAGACATTCGAGGTGAGTTTAAATAGATCGGACATAATCTTAAAATTTTACTCAAAATCGGCTCAATCGAAATTGTAATTTAGGTCAAACTAATTCAACTTGAAATGCATTCATTCTAAGATGACCTTGGTCGGGTCAGCGTCGCAGCGCGACAGGCAAACCTAAGTGGACGCGAGTCTCGCGATGCATAATTGACCTTGGGCAGCAGTCAGTCAACGACGATCACGAGGGTAGCTCGGTCACACAGTCAACTACGATCACGAAGCAGCTCGGTTAAGCAAGCAACAGGTCAATCCAAGTTATTCCCGAATTTCCAAGTCAATCCGAACTCGACTCGATTTTTGAAATAGGTCTAAAAATCTAACCCGAACCCAACCCAGCTTAGGTTTGGGTCAACCCAAACCCGAAATTTTTGTATCGAGTTTTCGAGTTGTGTCAAATATTGACACCCTAAAAATACATTAAAAATGCAAAATATGCAAGTACTTCTCAATATATTAATGTACATCTTTTATTTTTTTTTTATTGTCTATATAGTCTTTTAAAACTTATAATATAATATATGAGATAAAAAACTAAAATAAAAAATGAAGATTTAATATTTTAAACCCCTTCAATTGATTGGATACATGAGCTTTATGATCACTTCTATAGAGCTTGAAGTGCAATAAAAAAATTGATCTTGTTAATAATTGCAATAGTTTGTATTAAATAGCTCACTATAAGAAGATAAGCCAAAATTTTGACTTCTTTATTTCTAAATGCTTATCTCCCTATAATTACCTTACTTAAAAGCAAATTGCATGAAAGGAGACAAGTAATAAACACAATTAATATATGATGCAATCTTATTATATGCATTAATCAAATTATTAACTATGATAAATAAGTATATGATTCTTACTTTTCCATCTTACTATTTAATAGCCAAAAATTAAGTTACTAAAACTATTAAAACAATTTTATAGTAGATAGAGACCTTTTTGTACAATTAAAAACATTTCAATGCTCTTGTAAGAATACTCAAATAAATGATAAATTAATATAATTATGAAACATAGAACCTCAATCAAAGTGTCTATGTTTGTATTACTTCATTTGCAAAGAAAGTTGTCTCAAAAATGCATAAATTTCTTCAGACAGACAGTGGCCCATCTCTCCCATAACAAATTCAAAAACCTCATTATTCAACTCAATCCAACTACATCCTGCTCTTTTAGCCACTCCTTTTCCTCTCATGAAGCACCTTATCTCTCTAACACCATCCCAATATTGAGCTCTAGCATATATATTTGAAAGAATCACATAATTACCTGGATTTTCTGGTTCAATTTTGAAGAGTTCTTCTGCTGCAACTCTACCAATCTCAACGTTATTCTGACTACTACAAGCATTAAGAAGAGCTCCCCAAACTCCTGCGTGTGTCTCAACTGGCATTCTCTTTATAAAGTTATAAGCTTTCTCAATAAGACCCTTTCGACCAAACAGATCGACGATGCTCGCATAGTGATCAGCAGAGGGCTCAATTGCATAACTCTTCATGCACTCAAAACAATATAGACTTAAATCTATTAATCCACTTTGGCTACAGGCAGTTAATATTCCAAGAAAAGTAACTGAGTCAGGTTGAATACCTCTTTCCAGCACCTCTTGAAATAGTTCTAAGGCCTCTTCACCATGTCCATGGTTAGCCAGCCCAGTAATCATTGCATTATATGATACTATATCCTTTTCTGGCATATCTACAAACGCATCATGAGCATCCTGTAAGCTGCCACATTTGGCATACATGTTAAGAAGAGAATTGCTGACATAAACATTCTTTAAAAAGCAAATTTTATGCAGGAAGCCATGTAATTGCCTACCAAATCTCAGAGCTCCTAATTGGCCGCAGGAAGAGAGCAGTATAGCCATGGTGACATGATTTGGTTTAATACGATTCAGTTGCATCTCATTGAAGAGTTTTATTGATTGATCCCATTCTCCTCCATGACAGTACCCAACAATCAAAGCATTCCAAGAACTAACTTCCTTCACAGGCATTTGATCAAAAAGCTCTCTGGCAGTCAGGATAGATCCATTCATGGCATAACCAGATATCATGGTTGCCAATGAAATTGGATCTCTTTGAGACATTTGATCAAACATTCCTCTAGCAGATTCAATATCACCATCCTTCACATTACATGCCATCATAACATTACAAGTGACGACATTTTTAACTGCCATGTTATCAAATACATACCTTGCTTCTTCTACCAAACCAAATTTAGCATACATGTCTACCAATGTGGTTTGCACATAAATGGAGGAATTGAATCCAAGTTTAGTAGAATGAACGTGAATCTGCTTGCCTTCATTTGTGGCTTTCAAAGTTGAACATGCTTTAAGGGCAGTTGATAAAGTGAAGTTGTTTGGATAAGTTCCATGGTTAAGCATCATATGGTATATAACAATGGCCTCTCTTGCAAGCTCCGAATGTTGATGAGTGTAAGACGTAATCATGGCAGTCCAGAGGTAAACATTTGCAGAACTCAAAAGACCATTGAATATCAAGCGGGCATAACCAATATGACCCAAAGCCTGGCTACAAAAGATAACGAGTTTTACGGCTACAAGATTGTTTAAGCGAAGGCCATGAATGATGATATGAGCATGGATTTTCTTGAACGAATTCAAGGATGAACAGTAATAAATCCGTTTCAGAATGTTATTTATAATTGCTGGCATTCGTGAGAACAATTACCAACTAATCCTACATTCAAAAAAGTAGCCAGCTAATATTTTGGCACAATAGCAATCTCTTCACAATTGTGATAATGAAATTAAGCAATTCTTAGCGATCAAAAGAAGGCCGTTGGAGATCAATATTAAATCTGCAACACCGAACAAATAAGATGAGATGTTAGCTTATGTGAAATATGAATGAAACGCAGCATATTGACTAACACTTACCATAATGTGTTACTATTTGATTATTTATTTTTTGACTAGTTAAACAAATAAAATAAGATAAAGGAATTGGAAATGCAATACCTTCCTAAAATATTGTATTTATCATCATCATCATCTTTGTCACAAATTTTTGGTCATCTTTATGAATTGTTATTTTTCATTTATTTCTGGTAAACGCTGTTTGAGTTAAGCTTATTCATTGCAAGTCATCTGCACAAATTTAATCCATATAACTTTAGGTCCACCTCTTATCTTTCCTAATCCTTCAATACTACTTTCACTGAATCATTTAATTGTTATATTTTCTTTCTACCCTTGTTATACATGTTCAAACCACTGGTCTATTTTCAATTATCTTATATTCAATAGATGTCATTCCAATCATCCCTCTAATTTAGTCATTTATTAATTTATCCTTATTAATTTTGATTTATATCCATCTTAGCATTTTCATTTTTATTACACACAACATAAATATCAATGATTGTTTTATTGCGAACATTCGAATTCATATAACATCATTAACCTAATTGCAATTTTGTAAACTTTATCTTTCAATCCCTATGATATCAATTTACCATACAAAACTCGATTTGCACTTCTCCAACTTAGCCAACCAACCTTAATTCCATAAGTTGCATCCTTATCCATATTTCTACTTTTTTATATATAGATACAAGATACTAAAACCTATCTCAACTAGGTATCATCTCATCTTCTAATAATATTAAATGATAAGCATTAATATTATAATAACTAAAATTGTATATAAAATTTTTGATATTTGCTCTACTAAATTTGAGTCTTTTTATTTTCAAATTATTTCTATCACTATTCTAACTTCTCACTTATTTTAGCAGATGCCTCACAAATTAGGAACAATGTCATCTGCAAAATATATGCACCAATGCACCTTGCTTTGAATATTCTTAATAAACATCTGAATAGCCAATAGAAAAAGATAAAATCAATGTCGATTATTGATGTAATAATTGGAAGCTCTCGAGTCACTCCATAACTTCTAATACTTTTCAATGTTCTATCATTCATAGCTTTAATATATATAAAGATCATTTCTTTGCTCCATATACTTTTCCATTAATTGCACTAACAAAAAAATATATTTCCAAGGTAAATTTTTGCATGAAATCAATTTGATTCTAAAATTGATATACTTTTTCTAAGTATTTGTTCTACAATTCTCTCACATAATATTGTAATTTTAACAGTCAAGTGCCAGTATCAAAATAAACAATATAGTGATGAGAAAGAATCCTAAATTGCTAATTTATATTGCATTAATTTATCTAAATGTATAACAAAATAAGTCACTAAAACTAGGATTAAAACAATAAAACTGATTTAAAATATAAATTGCCTGATGATAAATTAATGATGATTAACCCTTGGGATATAATTTCCCCTTAACAATTCACACAAATGAATTTCTTCTAATTATATATGATTAATTATCCTAAATTGAAGGTCAATCGAAAGCACTAACCTTTTCTACAAACCTCTGCCGACGGACATACAAAACCTTTATAAACAAGCAACCATATGTCTATGTGAAAAAAAAAAAGAGAATCATTAAGAACAAACTCTAAAAAGGATTGCCCATATGTCTGTCTCATATCAACTCAAGCTATTATATCAACATCCTAAACCTAAATATCTCTTTTAAAATTACATTTAACTGATGGCAAAATAAATAAATCACTTGATAAACCTCATAGAATAAGCATTCAAACATAGAGCAAATCATAGAAAAGAAGAAGAAATTAACATTCAATTTTCGCATTGAGGTTCCATCATAAAATTTGGGGAAAAAAATAGTTCATAATAAAAGAAAATATAAACTCCATGAATGTCTACAACATAAGAAAAATAAAAGTAATAAGAAAATTAAGTTGACTATGCAACTACCGTCTTCACCAATACTTGTCATTCTCCAAATTTTATCTCAAAAACGTGTATCCAAAAATCCTAAAACGTCCAAGTTTAAATGTTGAGATTACCCCCATAGGCCAATAAAGCAAGTTTCTAAATATAAAATGCTCAAAATAAATTCAAACAATAACAACTAGGAACTAGAGAGGTGACACCTGGGTACTGCATGTTTGGTTTTATTGTTAACAAAAATTGTATCTCCTTGGTGCTACATTCCCAACATCTAGGCATTAATGTAAGTGTAGTTTTTCCTTCTTCTGTGGCATTAGGTCTCCAGCCATGGGGGTGCAGTTATCCTAAAGATAACCATTTTGTAAGTTGATGAACTGCCGGCTGAGCCAGTGGGCCTCACTAGGGTGGGCCACCGGCAAGAAGAGAGGAGGGAATTGTTTAGAAAAGCTTTACCTAGAATTGAAAGGGGATTAATTAGAGAAAAAATATATAATTTGAATTCAAATCCGAGAGAGAATTATTTAGAAAAATGGGGCTAATTTGAAAAGAATTAGGGGAGCCAACTTAAGGCTTACGTTGGGGTGATTCAAATTATGCTTGATTTTGCTGAAATTAGTTTTGCTTAGGTTGAGTGGGCTCCAGCCCATGACTAGGGATTTGGAATAGCCGGATTTTCCTCTCCAATTGAAGCTCCAACTGTATCTTGTGTTTTTCTTCTTAGTTCTTTTAATAAAAAAAGAGTTCTTGTGTATTCTTCTTCCTAAATTTCTTGTGTTGTTCTTTGGTTTTGCTGAAATTACATCCACTTCATACCATAAGCCTCTACGCCAAACTCAAGAAGGTTCTCAATATCCTGAATTAATGAAAAATTAACACTCAACCAATTCGTTACATATAAGATCTCAGCTAATAGTGCAGCACTGCCATCGCCCCACACACAATCAAGCTCCGTCTCTTCGGTTGTGTGGTATAACAAGTTTGGCACGCTAGAAAAGCAAGAAAACATGGTTGGCCCTACGGCTCAGCTACCATCCTCAAATCACTCACCAACACATATTCTCACCTAATCCAAGAGCAATGTGACACTTCTCAACCTGCCAAACTACGTAGTAAGTATCTTTGGTGTCCCCCTCCTCTTGATTGGATTAAAATTAATGGGGATGGTGCTCTTCTTCACTCAAATCAAGTTCTAGTTGGCACTGTCATTCGTAATGACCGTGGTGATTTCATAAAGTTGGAGGTCAACAATTAGAATATTGAGACAACTCATAAATTGAAATTGAGGCTATTCTTGTGGTCTATAACTGATGCAATCAAAAAGATTGCAAAAAATAGTAGGAGAACCCCAGGTCACAAAAAGAAAGAAACACGTTCCTTATAACTTGGAAATAAATGACACACAACACTTTAAACACTTTTAAACATAACATGACATTACAAACTTATGAAATAAAACTCCTAAACCTGCTTGTAATCATTGAGATGAAAGATACAAATGAGGTGGACACTTGCGGAGAGAAGAAAGAGATAAGAAGCCAAGACGAAATCGAAGAATGGACAAGTTCGCAAGCTTTCCCAATAAGAAGAGATAAGGAACAAGCTCGCAAGCTTTTCCAAGAAAAAAACCCACAGGTTTTGGCTCCAAAAATTATGTCATAGCATCCTTTTTTTATCCACAAAATATCTCATATATATAGGAGAAAAGGGGCAGCCAAACAGCCCAAAATACCTCAACCAAGCCAATCAGGACAAGGAAAACAAAAGGCCAAAGGGCTGTCCAAGAGCAGCACCCGAAGAGTCACAAGGGGGACAGGAATGGGCGGCTAGGGGAACCATAACAGGTAACCAGGGGAGAAGAACCAGCCACGGGACAGGAACCAGGCGGGGGAAACTGAAGGGCCATAGGGAAGGGGAAAAGAAAAAACCACTCCACATAATGAGCTAAAAAGGACAGCAGCTCATGCATTAATGAGCTGGAGCACAGCAGCTCCCAAATACATAGCAAAAACAGGACAGCCAATCCCCAAATCGAGAAGCACCAACAGCCCAAGAGTTTGGCACATGAGTTGCCCCCCCTTTGCCTACATCAAGAACATTGTTAAGTCGTGGGTGCTAGAGAAAAGTGAAGTCATCATTGAAGGGGGCAATGCTAGTATCATTTCTATCTTTCAAAATATCATGACAAAGACATTTTAGCAACATCAACAGCATAAGAGGTCTGATCTAACCATCCCAACTCAATCCCCAGAAGTCATCTTCCACCACACTCATAGACAAGAAAATCAAGTTGCTAGCTTTTGTGCTAAGATGCATTAAATTGTAATTTTGTTTGGCAATGTACAAATGAAAATGATCTTCCTTCTTCTTTTTTAATTTTGTTGAAGTAAGGTCGCTATGAGCCTACTTATGCATAGTTGTATTTTTTGTCCTTTTGCTTTTGAAATTGAATGTAATATGCACACTTTCAAGTATCACCTAAATGCTAGGTTATCTATGCATGATCTCTAGACTCAATCGCCAGCACCAAGATATGGCACCAAAGCGCTCATTGCTCTATCCAATGTCTAATACCTTTAAATCATTCCACATAATCAAATGGCCATAAATTCACCTAATCAGCAATCAAACACAAAGTACACATAAAAATACACAAATTACCCTAGAACAAAGTACATATCGAGTTAAAATGTAGCTTAATACGGCATTTACTCTACAAGGGTATTCATGAAACAACAGACCTCAGGCATTCACTCCTATTACCCATTGGATAAGGTTGCTTCGGCCTTATCATAGATAGTACTCGCCCAAGGTACTCTTAAGACCTTCACATGCTTGACATGTTCGAGTAAGCTCTCTCGGCCTGTTTTCCAACTAACAAATTTGGATCCAACACTACTTATTGAATCAGCATCATTCTTCACGTTGCTAATATAAGATTCGCTGAAAGAAACCAAAGCCTGGAAGCAAATAAACAAGAAATTCTTGAAAGAATTAGGCTATCTGCTTCGAATATCCTATCCACCATACAGCCAAGATGCGCCATCCAAACTCTTCAATCTTTAGCCGTCACTCGCTCCCAGTTCCTGCCTCTCGGTAGTAATCATATATAAGCCTATGCTTCCAAAACCAAAAAAAAAAAAAAAAACCTTAGAACGAAGCTCAAAAAGACATCTTTCACCTATCGCGCAGCCAATTGAACATATCCAGTATCCTCTGCGCCACAACCAATCTAGTTCCCACCATGTCTTGACTCGCGTCAATTCTTCTATCTCATCGAATCAAGATGACAAATAAATCTACCTCTGAAGGGGCTCAACTCGACTTCCCTCGCTTTCTGAAGTCGTCGAGCGAGCGATCTAGGGTTTAAGCTGGACGTTTAGACTGTTAAAGTTTGTTAACTTATATTTATTGAGGATAATGGTAAGTTCTTAAATTAAATTTATTCTTACAAATTGAACTTTGTAAATTCAGCCATTGTAAGAATACAAGGATTTAAAAATTTAGATTTTGTTTGGTACAGTTTTCTTCTTACTTTCTAAGACATTTTTTTTTTACCAAAATTTCTTTAATTTAAAATGTTTGTGCTAAAAAATCATTTAAAAAAGCAGTACAAAAGTTGTCTCAAATAAAACCTTAATTTTCATAATTAATAATTTAATTTTAATTTTTTTAGATATAATCAATTACTTAATAGTAAATAATTAAGTATTAATTAATCAAACTAAAAATAACTAAGCCTTACAAAAAGAGTTTAACTATAAACTAGTTATTGGCAATTGGAGTTAATTAATTTATGTTATAAATAATGTAAAGTTGAGTAGGCTGATTTAGTTAAAGGAATAAATAATAACACTATTTTGCATCTAATTTGTTTAATTATAGCTATAAGTATGCACTAAATTAGTACTTTTATTAAATAACTAATAATGATATATGCTATCTCTATTTAACTAATTAATAAATATTTTTAAAATATAATTATCTACATTAAACTCTATTTAATTCAATAGTAGCCATAATACTTGAAATTCATTTGTTTAATTAAAGGTCAATTTAAGTTGGTTGCAATTACATTTAAAAATAGTGTAGTTATTGGAAGAAAATTTAAATTTTCATATGATATGAGAAAAGTTGAGGGTTAAATTTGATAGTCAACAGCCAACATAAAACATGTCAAATAATCATGACATGAATTCTTTAATGTATTGTGTTAATGCTTTGACGTTTCTTGAAAGCGATGCGTTGTATGTTCTGAATATAACAACAAAATGAGCAAGGTTACTGCATTGGAGCATGGGTACAGAGTTAAATAGGCAAGGGTTCCTACATCATGGACAAATGTAGGCAAAGAAGCTATTACATGAAACTAAAATTAAAATGAGAACTTGAAATATATGTTTCCTTATAGGCAAATTAATGGAATTAATAGATATTATGATTCATAGAAAAATAAATATTATATGCATTCACGAAACTAAATGGGTTGAAGAGAAGGCTAAGGAGATTAAAACTTAAGGATTTAAACTATGGTATTTTGATAATAATCGTACTAGAAATGGTGTATGTGTGATTATATATAAGAGTTTGAAGAATAATGTTGTAAAAATTAATATAATTGGAGATAGAATTATAAATTTAAATATTATTATTGATGCTAAGATTATTAATATTATAAGCATTTATGCTCCATAAGTAGATTTAGATGTGTTCAAAATTAAATTTTAGAATACCCTAGAATAATTAATACAAAAAATATCTCTCAAAGAAAGAGTTTTTATTGGAGAAGATTTAAATGGACATGTTGGTAGAGAGGTTGATGATTTTAAAAGCATTCATGATGGCTATGACTTTGGAGCGACTAATGGAGGTGGTAAGACTATATTAGATTTTTTTTAGCTTATAATTTTGAAATTGCTAATATCTTATATAAAAAAAGATATGAGCATCTCATCACTTATAAAAATAGATATTGTAAAACTCATATTTATTATTTTCTTTTTAAAAAATAGATCATTTAGATTACAAATATTATAAAGTTATTTCGAATGAAAGTTTATGTTCCCAACATTGTTTATTTATTTTGGACTTCAAGATGTAGGGGCAGAAAATAAAAAATAAAGTAAATCGTTGTTCTAGGATTAGATGGTATTTAAATAATATTAATAAAAAATTTTTTGAGAATAAGATTTTAGATCTTAAGATTTTGTCTGTGCATGAGGAAGCTAATGTTATGTGGCAAAAAATAGCTAGTGATATTAAGAATATTACAAAAGATATGCTTTGAGTATCAAAGAAAAAAACTAATAATAGTAAAAATAGTTGGTGGTGAAAACAAAATGTGTAAGAAAAGATAAAAAAAGTAAGAATATTTGTTATACAAATTTGTTTAGCTGTAAAAATTTTGTTAATTAGGAAAGATATAAAAAGGTCAATAAGGAGTCTAAAATAGTAATTTGCAATGCAAAGATTTTAGCTTTAATCATTTATATAATAGATTAGATACTAAGGAGGACGAAATATAAAGGTATAAGTTAGCTAAACAAAGAGATAAGAGTAGTAAAGATTTTGTTCAAGTGAAGTCTATTAAGGATGAAACTCACAAAATGCTTTAATTAGAAGAGGATATTCAACAAAGGTGGGTAAGATATTTTGTTAAACTTTTCAATGAAGATTATGATAATACGATTAACTTTAGTGACATTAACACCCTAAATAAAAATAAAGATTTTTATTTTTATTGATATATTAGTAAAATCGAAGTTAAAGAGACTTCAAAGAAAATGAAGTGTGAAAAGCTGTTGGACCTTATGATATTCCATTAGAGGTATGGAAATGCTTAGGAGATGAAGGAACTTCTTGGCTTACTAATTTTTTTAATATTATTTTGAAGACTAAAGAGATGACAAATGAGTGGAGAATAAGTGTGTTGATTCATATTTTTAATAATAAAAGTGATGCACAAGATTGTTCAAATATAGAGGAATTAAGTTAATGTGTCATACTTTAAAACTATGGGAGAGAGTTATGTTGCATAGGTTGCGGCATGACACTAATGTTTCTCAAAATCAATTTGGATTCATGTAAGGTAGGTATACTATGGAAGCTCTAAATTTATTGAGAGGTTTAATAGAGAAGTATAGAGAGAATAAGGAGGATCTACATATGATATTTATTGATTTAAAGAAAGCATGTGATAAGGTTCCAAGAGAAGTGATATGGAGAGTTCTAGAAAAGAAAAGGGTTAATAATGCTTATATTCAAGTCTTTAAGGGTATGTACGCAGGAGTTGTTACTTGTGTTTAAACACAACGTGGTTTAACTTGGTATTTTCCTATTCAGTTGGATTACATCAAGGATAAGCTTTAAGCCATATCTTTTTTCTTTAGTCATGGATGTTCTCACTAGACATTTGTAAGAGGTTATACCATGGTATATGCTTCTTGCTGATGAAATTCTTTTTGTTGATAAGACTAGAGAGGGAGTTGAAGGTAAACTTGAATTATGGAGGTCAACCTTATAGTCTAAAGGTTTCATTTAAGTAGATTTAAAATTGAATATATAGTGTAATTTTAGTAGTAATAGATTTAGTTGGAGGATTGTGACTTTGGGTGATCAACTCATTCATAAGAGTACATGTTTTAGATTTTGATATATTATTCAGAATAATGGTGAAACATATGGGAATATTATTAGTATAATTCAAGTTGGATGGTTGAAGTGGTGGAATGCATTGGGCTTATTGTGTGATAGAAAAGTACCCCTGAAATTTAAGGGAAAATTCTATAAGATGGTGGTGAGACCTGCAATGCTTTATGGTCCTAAATATTAGTTATTAAAAGAGAAGCATATTATTAAGTTAATTGTTGTAGAGATGAGGATGCTCAAGTTGATGAGTGGCTTTACTCTTAAAGATGGGATACGAAATGAGCATATACGTGAAAAGGTTGGAGTAGCTCCAGTGAAAAATAAGATTAGAGAGAATAGTCTTAGATGATATGGTCACATAAAACGGCTGCCTTTTGATGACCCAATTAGGAAAATATATGCATTATATTTGACTTATGTTAAAAAAGGTAGAGGCAGACCTAAAAATACTTAGTTAGAAGACATTAGAAATAACCTTTCTTTATTAGATTTAGATAAGAATTTGACTCTTAGCAAGACACAATAGAGAAAAAGGAGTCATGTAGCCGACACAAAATAGTATGATAAAAACTTGCTATCATTGTTATTGTAGTATAAGATGATGTGAGAATTATGATTTTTATTTTTTATTTAATTTGATAATATCTTTTTCATAACATAAAAAACAGACCTTTCTGTCTACAGATTTAGGATAAATCATCATTAGCTTATATTCTCATTATCAATCCTTGCTTTTCTTTCATTTCTATTCAACACTATTTGAAATGTTAAGCATATTCTTCACAAATAATTTTGAACAATTTATAACCATATAAACAAATATATATTCATTTTTTTCTTCATAACTTCAATTCTCTCTAATAATATAATAACTGATATTGTATACCATTCATTGCACACATCCAAACCTCAATCAACTTTAATATAATTTCATTTCTCTAATAATATAATTTCAATCAACTTTTTCATACCACAATGTAATTACAATCATTCATCAATTTAACCTTCCTAATTATCACACATTCATACTTAATATTCTCACTTTTATCACACAACATAAATATCAATAACTTCTTTACATTCCAACATTCGTATACATATAACATCATCAATCTAATTACAATTCTATAAAATTCACCATTAAGGCTTCGTTTGGGACAGGTTTCTTACTGTGTCTTAAAACAATTTTTTGATATAAAAATTTTAACTTTTATACTAAAATGCTACTTTAAAAAACAGTAAAAAAATCATCCAAAACGAAACCTAAATCTTCACTTCTTATCACACAAAATTCCTTAAATATATTTTCATTTTAATCATCCAACTTCAACTTCAAAAATTAAATATCTAATCATAATAGCATATCATTCTTATAAAGGCAAGCTCAATGCTCACATAGAAATAGGACATCATATCTACATATACAAAGTTGACATATATTATCAAGGAAGCAATTGAGCTTCTAAGTCTTAATAGCAGTTTAGAACTTCAAATTTCATCCTGGATGCTCTCAATCACTACAATTGCCTGCGCAAAGCCACTGCAGAAACACCTCAAATGGTCTGTTAAATTCCTACTGATCATTGCCTCCGTATTGGGTAGAATTACCATTCCAGAAAGTGTTTCTATCACGAGAGGAAAAATCATCTTCATCTTGCCTGAGAGTATGAATGTTGCTGCCAAAAGGTCTGGAAGATGATCTTGAGGTCGAAGCACTGGCAATTGTGTTCTGGGGATTTGATGAATATTGATTTCGCAAAGCTTCCATTCTGGATAAAGAGTTCTGGAGGCCAGGATTTGGACCTGCATGGTGAATAAGAGGAATAAATTTTTATCTCAAGTACGGCAGCAAGGATAAGAGAAGAAAATAAGATGAAATGAATATAATGCAAGAACTGATTAATTATTAATATATTACATTCACCTCAAGATAATTTTATTAGCTAAAGAACTGATCCTCGTCTTGATACAAATTTTCTCAACTTGTGATTCTGAAGCTTTGTTTAGGACGGTTTTTTTGCTGCTTCTTAAAGCAGCTTTCTGATATAAAAAATACAAATTTGTGAACTAAAAAGATGCTTTAAGAAGTAGTAAGAAAACCGCCCAGCCTTAGGCTTCATTTGGGGCGGCTTTCTTACTGCTTCTTAAAGCAGCTTTTTAGTACAAAATTTTAAATTTTTGTACTAAAAAGCTATTTTAAAAAACAGTAAGAAAGCCGCCCCAAACGAAACCTTAATGTCATTAAAAAAGCTTTGAAAAAAGCTACATCAATTGATTTTGCTCACTTTTAAGGAGCAGTCAATCATCAAGCCGGTATATTCAATTGGTACTGCACATGATTTAGAAATTAACTAAATTCAAAACATCAGAAGATTTGGAAATCAGTGAACTGACGGTATTGCCATAAATCAACATTTGGTGCTTGTTCTGAACATGATTGACCACCATTACCACCCAAATAGGAGAAGGGGTTCAAATATGATAATGCCCTTTTCAGATATCCAAAATAGCCGATTCCATTGTCATTAGAAGTAGTTTGATTTGCAGCAGTTTGTATGTCATTAGATGGCAACGATACCCTCTGATGGCCTGAGACTCCACTTCTTGGAATTACTATCAATGCCTGCCGGCCAGCAAACCCTAATTCAGACAAAGCTTTACTCATGTCTGCAGCAAAAATACAAGCCCAAAATGGTTTAGTGAAGTAACATGGATTGCTGCTCTAAATTCGTGAATCTTATAATAAATGCAGAATAACAAAAGAAACTCTAAAATGTAAGAACAATTACTCCTGCAAACAAGGTTGTATTAATCAAAGAGTATACAAGTGTGCCAATTATAAGAATGCAAGAAAATTCAGACATATAACAAGCAATAAAAATGGATTATATATATACTAAATTTGTTAGAATAAATCCTAAATTTACACAGGTAACTTAGGTTTAGATTTTTTTTTTGTTTGTTTAAGTTAATAACTAAAAACCCATTATTTTAATGCTTAATTGATGAAATGGTCAACCCAAGAGAGATAGTTGATATTTTGCTAAACCTCAATGGTCTACGTGATATTTAACTAAAGCTCAGTGAAGTTAAATGATAACTACTCCCATAATATGCCACCAAGATCACTAAAAACAGAAATACTGCAATATAAGTTCATTCCTTAAAATAAAACATCCATAACTTGCTTGCATTTAATGTAAAGCAGCATTCTGACCACCTTTTGTTACTTTCTATTAAAAAAAAAAGACACTTAACAATGCCTATGTACTTGTCACAATATTAACATATCATTCATAGGAAATAGAAACCCACAACAAAAACATATATATTATATATATATATATATATAAATATATATGTATATATATATGTATATATGTATGTATATATGTATATATGTATGTATATATGTATATATGTATGTATATATGTATATATATATATATATATATGCAAAAAATTGAAGTATGCTGAATGCAACAACTTGGCACTTCAACTCTCGCCATAAAAATGGAAAAAAAAAAAATCTTATGATTAGATCCATAGGTTTTCGTTTGAGTAGATCTAAAACAAAATATATGGAGTATAATTTTAGTAGTAATAGATCTAGTGGGGGATTATGATTTTGGACGATCAAGTCATTAATAAGATTACACGTTTTAGATATCTTGGATCTATTGTTTAGATGGTTTGGTAACATTAAACGGCGGCCTTCTGATGACCCGGTTAGGAAAATAGATATATTAGATTTGGCTTATGTTAAGAAAGGTAGAGGTAGACCTAAAAAGACTTGATTAAAAAATTTTAGAAAAGATCTTTATTTATTAGATTTAAATGAGAATTTGGCTCTTAACATAACACAATGGAGAAAAAAGATTCATGTAGCTGACCCGCATAGTGGGATTAAGGCTTATTTTATTTTTTTTTTATTTTTATTTTTTATGTAATCATGACTTACGACTAACTGCAAGAGCGTGTAGTTCTCATTGTATCAAGAACATATAAACCCACGCTAACAAGTAACTTTTGTGTTTAATATCCAGTAAAATTATTATGAAGACACTTACAATTTCAAGCTGAAGAAAACGTAAACCTAAACAACATACCTTCCTCACCAAATACTTTTCGAGGGTAAGGAATAGCTAAATCATATGAACCCAGATTGCTGTCATTGTTGTCATCCACATAGTTTTTCACTGACTTCAATCTATCAGTGATAGTGAACTTCTCTTGAAGACTAGTTCCACTAGGCATGCGGATACTGAGATGGATAGTGGTGGACTTAATAGTATTTTCACTGTCAATAATCTCATCCGGAACAGAGTGTGTTCTTTCTTGCACCTCAATAGCATTTATTTGAGAAGACCCTGAACTGGATAAATGGATTTCCACAACTGGTTCTGGAGAAGAATTTGGATGGTTTTCAATAGACTGATACTCCCGTGGCACCGCCAGGAAATCTGGAATGTTGTGGGTAGCAGAATGCGAGATTTCTTTTGTTTCATTCTCTTTGTTCTCTCTGTCTTCGCTATAGACCTTCGCTGCATTAGCGGTATCCAACTGCATGGCGTTATCATCCTCACTGACATCCTCCACCTACAAGATTAAATGTCAGATACAAACAACTTCACTTAAGTATAGGGTTACATTGAGAGCATCGAGCCTCGTTGAAGGATAAGGGGCATAGAGTCTCAGAAAAAGTAAGTTTCTAAAAACAAAAGGGCTAAAATTACTTAATGAGAATGTTTAAAATGAATGGAGCCGAGAAACCTCCAAAAAACACTAACCTGTTGCTCGACCAGAGCTTCAGGATCATTTGATGGTTCAGCTTCTACATTTAGGGCTTCATTACCAGCTAACGATGATGGATCATGTAGGCTTGAGGATTCCCCTTGCTCAACTGAAGCAACATCTGTTGAACTAGAACTTGAAGGATCAGGTTTCTTTGAAGCAAGTGCAGCTGACAAAAGGACTGTAGCAGTATCCTGTTTGTTGCATAAATCACATTTTTGAAAGCTATTGAGATGGTAATCAGCAAGCTGAGTAGGAAGTACAAACTACGCAAATAATAATGGCTGCAAACCTGGAAATGCATGGCAGCCCAAGCCTTCTCAATACTCTCGATAAAAGTTTCACAATCAATGTAACCTTCTGATAGTTTTCAAATAAAAAACAAAGAGCAATTCGTTATTTAAATTGAAACATATGTGACTACAAAAAGAAAAGAATCTTGAAAGAGTTTAGAAATACCATGTTGCCAAAGCATTAAACCATTGTAACCAACAGCAGAAATGCTCGGAACAGCTTTCTGAGGATCTGGACAAGATCATGTAAGCTGAACAAAAAAACTTGTAAATTATTGAGAACTAATATGCTATGTAGCTTATACATTTAAAAGCAAGTAAGAACAAATGAAAACAACTGGTCAAAATATTCATTTTAAATAATATTTACTGCATTAGTTTACATGCATGCCAAACTTAATCATTTTGTCATGTTATCATCAACTGACATAATACAAATATTTGGGCAGGATTTACTAATCCCTCTCATTCAATACTGAAATCTAAAAAATATCTTATTATTGAAATAATAGCAAAATACTAGGATTGATCAAAGGAAAACTACTCTAAGCAGTTGACCAACACTTGTTGGCAAGCTGTTAACATTTTAATGACAAATTTTGAAAAAAAATATACTGAATTAATTAAAACATTTCAGAACAAATCAAGCTTTATAGAATACAGTAAAATCAATGAATAACGGATACAAATGGCAGAAAACTGTGATGCTTCAACATGTCCTTGAATCAGATGCAAGAAGATGCAATATCTTGATACTGCTGCTCCTACCTGAGCAGATATGGAAACACAGAAATAAGCATGAGAGGAGGATTGACTATTTTAAGCTGCAAAACCAACTATTTCGACCATATGCCAAGTTCTTAAAAAAGACGTACTTGATCATCTAACCAAGTCGAATTTTCTAGATTGGCTGAATTCTCATCGTCACCTGAAAAGTAACATGAAGATATTAAACTTAAACGTTGCTAAGCACTAAAAACTAACACCTAAAAAACACGCCTCTACAAGCATTGTACTCGAAGGAATGCATTTCACCAACAGAAAATCATGTTTTTGTATAATCTCCATAAAGAATGAATTCAACCTGAGATAAAAACGAGAAAAAGCTTCTTCTGATTCTGAGCTTCAACAATCGCCTCAGAAATGGATCCCTTGTAAGTTAGATAAGCTGTAGATTTCTCCATCTTAAGAAAAAAAAGGTCAAAACTTAAATTGAGGAGAAGAAATTGCAACTACAATAACCTTAAAGAACAGCAGAATGCCAGAAAATAATTCAATAAGGAATAGAAGCACAATCAATTATGCCCTCAAACGTGTTATCAGCAATTATGATTTACAAAGAGGAATTCAGGCTCTGTTCCTCGCAAAGCAAGAAAAAATCTAAAGAGTGTCAAACCAGCATGCCAAAAAAAATAGAAGCAATTAAATTTCAAACATAAAAAAGGATCATCTTAAATTAGTCTAAGTAGATTGCCCTGCTGCAGAGACAATGAAAAATCAATCGAACTCCCCAATCCACTAAACATCTTCCAATAGCTTAAAAGAAAAGGGATGAGCTAGAGTAAGAGATTCTAGAGATAATTTCAGCAGTTCTGATGCAAATCATCATTCTGAACTTTAATTTTAATGTTATGTTCATAGTTTATCTATTTTTTTTATATTTTCAGTTTTAGTTTTGGAATTTTAGGCATGCCCATAATTATAATACCTACAGAGAATAGGATGTGCTCCATAATGTTCTGACCTTATTTCATCCAGTTTGATTAGTTTCCCATTGCTGGTTTGGTTTGGCTGCTCTGGCTCTCTAGGGTTTATCAATTGGCCCTTCAATTGGACCTGCCGTTTGGACCTTGACCTTCATCTAAGATGTGAAGTTAGAATATCTTGTTTTGACTTGTTGAGTCAAGTGTTTCTGTCGGGCTTTGCTTGGAAGCCTTTTGTTGCTATAGGTTGCTTGTGACTTGAATATTAGTAGCATGGTTGATTGGTTTCCTGTTTTGTGAGATGGATTCGGTAATATAGAGGCTGTGGCAGCAACTTTGATGGGGACATCGGTCCTACATCAAACTTTCTAGCGAGCTGGTCTGTGACTTTCACATGGCAGTAAAAACTATATCGGTTTCTGTTTCCCAACCATGAACATCATACGCAATTTTACAGGATGCATATTGTTGAACCTATCTTTTGGAGGAAATGAGTGATTAAGAATAAATTAACTGAGCATAAAAAATTAATTTTGAATGATTTTTTTTAATTATTTTGTTTCTTTTTTGTGCTTGAATGCTAGTTAGATGAGATGCTTCCAGTGTGCAATAAATGTTAACTATAAAATATTGGAGGAAATATCTCCTTGTACTCTCTTAAATAAATTATTTTTCAATGATATTTCTTTTTAAATTTTTTATATCCTCTTTGTACTGGAGTGCTAGTTAGATGAAGATCCTTCCAATGTGGCGTACCGCGTAAGTGGTAACTACAAAATTTTGGAAGAAATATCTCCTATTACCGGCATTTGACCAAGATTAACACTTTAGAGTTTTATGATTGTTTCTGATGTGAAACGTAAATGCCATATACTTGCCTAGGTGGCAAGATTAATTAAAGCTCAAATCAATTTGGGGAGAGAGAATGGAAATCTGAAATTAAGGAGTAATTAAAGCTAATTCAAATTCAATTTTTGAATTTGAATTGTCATTAATTGGGAGGATTGAATGATTAATTGATTTAAATCTGAAATTAAATTTCAGATTTAAATTAATGGTTATTGGCTTAATTGGAGGGACGAATTTAAGGAGTAATTAATGCTAACTCAAATTCAAATTTTGAATTTGAATTGTCATTAATTGTGAGGATTAAATGATTAATTGATTTAAATCTGAAATTAAATTTCAGATTTAAATTAATGGTTATTGGCTTAATTGGAGGGACGAATTTAAGGAGTATTTAATGCTAATTCAAATTTAAATTTTGAATTTGAATTGTCATTAATTGTGAGCCTCTCTTAATTAAGAAATTTCTTTATTCCAAGGAGGAAGAGAGGGGGAGGTAGGGGTTGGTGGGCGTCGGCCTAAGGGATGGCCGGCGAGTGAATTTTTGGACGGGCCAACAGGGCCGGCGGCAAGGAGAACTTGGGGAGGAAAAGCCCGAGCTTGGTAGATGATGAGAAGTTTAGAAAAATCTAGGAATTTCTAACCTCACGCTCTTAAACTTCAAGATCTCAAAGGAGATTGTAGGGATGTCGGAACTCACACAGAGATCCACGAAACTCTCCTCAAGAACTCACAAAGAGATCTTGAGAATCTCGGAACTCACAAAGTGATCCGCGAAACTCTTTTCAAGAACTCACAAAGAGATCTTGGGAAAGTCGGAACTCACAAAGAGATCCTTCTGAACTCACTAAGAGATCAACATGAAAATAAAATTTTCCATTATCAATAATCCATCCTTCAAATACAAGAGAAGGGGCCTCTATATATAGGAATCAAGAGAAATTAAAAGACACATTCGCCCCTTGGGCTTACATAAAACAAGAGGGTAAAATGAGAAATTGCAAAACTAAATTAAAATACACTTAATAAACGAAAAAAAATCAAAGTGATCTCGGTCGTCGATCTTCAGCTCCTCGGATTGGCATGGACGGTTGGATGTCCGCATCAGTTTCCTTGTTCTTTTTTTTTTTTAATAATATTAGTGATTAATTTTTAAGTGATTAGATTTGGTGAAAGCTCATACAATTAAGAATTTTCAATTGTGATATAATTTTCGATCATTGTGTGATTTTCCTTGACTGTGTGTTCCTTGGTCGATTTTTTATTTGGGTGATCATTAAATTATCATTTATGACCAATTTTGTGTCTTTAGTTTTCATCAAAAGAGAATAATTATTATCTAAATTAAATTGTAAGCTTGTTACATGCTAGAAAATTTGCACTAGTGGAGTAAGATATTTTATAGTACAAGCTTTATACAAAGATCCAGCAAATAAACAAATAAATGAAAAGAGCACGAATCACGTCAAAGTTTCTACTTGAAAAATCGGCAAAGGGAAAAAACGATGGGGCCAAGCCCAGTTGAACTGATTTCACTATGAGAGTGTTAATTTAAAATGTTTGTCCATCTCTTAAATTAGAGATGATAATATTACAAGAGTATAAGAAATAGCTAGGAAATATGGTGGAGTTGGTATTGGGATGGAAGGCCTTCAAATGATTGTGGCTAAGTGATAACAATATGAAAATATTGTTCGAGCGGTAGCAGTTTGAATAGGGCCACACGATAGTGATTAAATGACAATGTTTGGGTAGCGAAGGTCTAACGAGTGTCGTCGGGCAGTGATTCAATGTTACAGTCGGACGGCGATGGTCCGATAGAGGTCTGGAGACGGCGATCGAGCAGTGGTCCAACAACAACGACCGAATGGTGATATAATGGCTAAGGTCAGGCAGTGAAGCTCCAATGATGGCAATCAGATGGTGGTCCCGTAACAATGATCGAGTGGTTGTTTGATGGCGGTGGAATGGTGTTCCAATCGAGCGACAAAGGTCCAACGGCGACTGTCGAGCAATGCTTTGATGGCACCTTTGGGCGATGAAGTTCCAACGACGGTCATGTGGTTGTCCGACAATGGTTGTCATGTGGTGGTCCAATGTCAGTGATGCTCTAACAGAAATATAGAATTCTTTAAGCTTTTATGCTCTCTTGAATACCTAGGAAATGTTTCCCTTAATGTAGAGATTGGGGCCAATTCATATATTTTTAAGAGTAACATTCCACGTAAATATAGAAAAAATCCAAAATACTCGATTGGATGACCTATATTGATTTTCTTGATCATAGAACATACATTTGGCATTTAAGTGCCTTAATGTTATCGGAATTAAGCAATATTAAGCTCGTTGGATTCATCTTATCGAGATTTTTAGTTTGATTATATGCATGTCAAATTTGAAGATCATTTGGTCCTTAAATTGATATTCTAAAGTTTTTAACTATGATTAAAGCTCTTGATCTAGGCTTATTTAGAAACATAGCAAAGCATTTATTGTGTACTTGGGTTCATCTCATTGAGGCGATCAGTTAGACTATTAGGTTGTTAAATCATAGCCTAAATGATCATGAATTTAATTTTAGAAGCTTTCAATTCAAACATGCATTGACATTTGTCCATGATCATGCAATTTTTGACATTTGTCCATGATCATGCAATTTTTAATGATATATCAAGACTAAGAATTTGACCTTATATATGTGATCATGTGTATTTCATCCAAGATTTGCATTAAGAAAACCTAGGCCCTAAGTCATCCTATATATACTATAGTCATTTGAATTCTTACTTTAGTTAAGGATTCCCTGAGAGTTAGTCAATTATCTACAAATGTGAGCAAGTCCACATAATTATGAGATGAATCCCCACAATCTCATATGATTTATTCACTTCTAATTTTTAGCAATAAAATAATTTTAAATCTCAATTAGCTTACAATTTCAAGCCACATCAACTTTGTGGTCTATTTGAAACAACTTTCTATCAACTTTGCTTTTCAAATAGCAACTGCACTTACATTTGGATTAGTTTTTCAATTGCGTTAGAAATTTTTTTTGTCTAAAATAGATTTTATAACCAAGCTCATCATCCTATGTTTTAAAAATACAATTATGATCCGAGGGATGTTCCGGGGTTTCTTAATCCAAAATTTTATAATTCCATCTTCTCAATTGTAAAATATAGTATAATAACTTTAAAAAATAACTTTCCTACAAATAGTTTTACAAAAGAACTTTACAAATAGCTACAGCTACCCAAAAAAAACTAATCTCAATGTGGGTTTGATTTGCATGCGATAAGAATTTGCACGATTTCTTGATAAAAACAATTATGATTAGAGCAATTAGCAATTTAAACAACAAAACAAAACGTAAGAGGGGTGGCTACGCTTAGGCCAAGCCACATGCCAAACACTTGGATTATCAAAACAAGTTAGAAGCTCAATAACATGCAAAGTAAATAGCTTTCAACAAAATCTCTAATCTAACAATAAGATAGTACATAGAAAGCACGCCCAATCCTACGTTTGCAAAGCTTAAGCAGAAGGCGAGGCACGATTCCTCTCAACTAGATCACGACCTGCAAGATTAGTAGATTAGGAAGATAATTGAAAAGGGGAAGAAGTTTACCATTTGT